AAACTCGCGGCAGGTAAAGAGGATCGTACATTTTTCATTCGAAATTGGAATCTCCCTTTTTTCGTCGTGCTCTATAATTCACCCTCCACTCGTTCCACCCCCAGCTGATTACGGTGCAATTTAATTTCCAATTTATATTCATTTAGCATGCATAAAGTAACATCCGACTTTATCACACGGTTGGCTAGTCCACCGTAAGGAAAACATTCGACGGTTTTGCTCGTTTTTCCGAGAATGAACAGCAAGAAAGACCAGGAGGAGACTCTGTTACAGGCAAAATGCACTAATTGGAATTAGTACACCGGGCAATATTTGAACAGCTTCCAAGTCTTAGGCGAAGCAACCGGGAGAAGAAGAAGAAATTGGATGGAGCGATGGACGGGAGTAGTCGCTGATGGACCGACGAAAAAGGATGATGCTATTAGGCTAATTAAGGTGCCTTAAGATTTTAACGAGTTCACTTACCTTCGCGAGCGACGGAACTTCGAAATAGTCGCGTGTGGCGTGTAAACTTTACCGGAAGTGAATTGTACTATGTCTTTCTCCTTCTTTTAGATGCTCTCTGTCCCGCGCGAAATTTGACCGAATCTCTTCAAAGTTTTGAAACCATTTGTCGAGATTGAGGCTGATTGTAGGGAAAACTATTAAAATTGTTACCATCTATTAAAATATGTTATCTGAAAACAGTATATCTCCTTTACAAAACAGAACAATTATTGGAATCGAGCAACGAATTGTAAACTTATAACGTTTAATGCGACAGAACCTTTCGTCACCGTGTCACAAAATCACGGGCGAGCGCAACAAATTGCTCGCGTTGAATATTGCGAGGATCTTATCAAAACAGCCAGACGAAACTGTACATTCCTGGAATCAATTATAACTAGTGATGAGACTTGGTGCTTCAAGTATGAACCTCAAACAAAGCGCCAAAGTGCTACATGGAAATCTCCAGGCTCTCCAAAATAAAAAAAATTGCGATTCCAGAAGTCCCGAGAGAAGACAATGTTAATTTGCTTTTACGATTCTAAAGGAATTATACTTCGGGAATTCGTTCCACGGGGACAAAATGTTAATGGCGAATATTATCTGGGTGTTATGGAACATTTGTGGAAGAGGATCGTTCGTGTGAGGCCCGAATATTGAGCACCGGGAAGTTGGTTTCTGTTGCATGATAACGCACCATGTGAACTGTCACTGTTCGTGAATTTTTGGCGAAAAAACAAGTCTGTTGCAACATCCACCAAATTCTGACTTATCTCCATTACTTCCTTTTTCTAATACTGAAATTAGGTATAAAAGGAACGATTTATGACATTGTTACACAAGTCCAAGCAGCTGTGGACTTGTAAATAAATAAATAACTAAAACTTGCACTATTGAATCCCTTGAAAGTGTGAACATGAATTTTCATAGAATTTTAAGAACATCTCGTTCCAGAATTAATCGCGAATGACGAAAGAATCGATGCATCGAAAGAAACTGACGGCGTTTAGCCGGTCCAATCATCAATCAGGTGGGCGAAGTTAAATGGCCGGGACAACGGGTTTTAATATCTCCCGGGAGAAATAAAAGTTGGCGCGATAAATCAAAAGTGAAAAGTCTCTGCTCGGCTATATATACTTCTCTGTCCGTCTTTCCTTCTTCTCGTCGTCTTTTTCCGCTCGCCTTTTATCCTCTCTTTCCTTCGTCTGCCACTCAGTCGCCTACAAAATGGCAAGTCTTCACTCTATTTCTCTCTCGGTTCTCTCGCCGTTTCTTTCTCGTCGCCATTCTCACGAATCCTAATGTCTCTTACCTCCATCGACAATTTGCAAAAGTGATAAATGAACGCTTCTCTTTGCCTACGCCCCGCGATCCAACAGAATCTGGGCCTGATTCTCTAATTAAATGATCGTCGTATTTATTTATTAGGTGAAATACTAATTTTTAAAGGGGTTCTCTGATCACTGTTAGTTTCAATTATTAATTTCACTTATTAGTTTCAGTTAGGTGTTTCATGCATTAGTTTTTGTTGTCACTTTCAAGTAGATGTCTCAATTAGTTTCAGTTAAATGTCTCAATTATCAGTTTCAATTAAATTTTTCAATTAAGTAATTCAATTATTAGTTTCAATTATAGTATACTTCAATTATAAGTTTCAATTATGAGCCTGAATTATTAGTTTGAATAAAGTGTTTCAATCAAACGTTTCGCAATTTTATGTTCCAATTAAATAATTCAATTATTGATATCAATTATGTACTTCAATTATAAGTTTCAATTATGAGTCTGAATTATTAGTTTGAATGAAGTGTTTCAATTTTATGTTCCAATTAAATAATTCAATTATTGATATCAATTATGTACTTCAATTATAAGTTTCAATTATGAGTCTGAATTATTAGTTTGAATGAAGCGTTTCAATTATACGTTTCAATTAAATAATTCAATTATTAACATCAATTATGTGCTTCAATTATAAGTTTCAATTATGAGTCTGAATTATTAGTTTGAATAAAGTGTTTCAACTTAAAATTTCAATTATTAGTTCCAATCAGGTGTTCCAATAAGATATTTCAATTATTAGTATCACTAAGGTATTTCACCTATTAAATTTCAAAGAATGTTCGACGATTTATAGCCTACTTGAAGTCGCATAACTTTTATCCGCACGAAAACTTGATTACGTTTAAACTGCGATTCCGACCGTGAAATATTGTGAGAAGGGCAAATGATATAAAACAAACGTTCGTTATTCTTTCTTTTTAATCCGACATCACTTCCCCGGGAAGAAAATTAAAGCAATTCGTCATAAAAATGAACGCGAGATTTCGGTGCCGACGAATTAAGCTAAAATAAGAAATGTCTGAGAATAAAGTAGCTTTCCACGGATTTGTACGGCACCGGTATTCCTACCTCTCCTCTGGAACATCCGCTTACATTACTTTCTTTCTCCATTTAAATGGAAGTTGTCTTTATAAATACACGAGACACCATGTAAACGACCTGAATCATGAATTTTTCCTCGTCGACCGACGTGCCGAACGAAAATATCCTTCTGCTACCAGAAACTCGTTAATTTATTCGCCAAGTTATGGTGGAATCACGATTTACAGCGTTTCACGGGGTAGACGAGACAGATTGGTATAAAAGTTAATTGCAACCGGAGAACATTAAATTATTTCAATCATCATTACCCGCATTTTCGGTTTAACGAAGGTTTCGATGCATTTTCAAAGTTTATATCGAATCTCGATGCAAAGATTTATATTGCATGCAATTGTGTTTTGCCATCAAAAATTAATTTTCTCGTATACTCGTTGATAAAAAAAAATGTGCTCGTGAATAAGTAAATGAATAAATAAGAAATTTCACAAAAAATGATCAAATAAAAGAAGGAACATTAACACAATAAAAGAATACAAATAAAAAAGTAAATAAAAATAAAAAAATTAACAGTGTAGTTCAAATAAGAATGAACATAATTTAAAATATCCTTAAATCTCCATATAAAATATCCTACATGATACAACAAAAATAATCGATGAGGTGCAAAATAACCGAATAGTTCAGTTTCTAAAGAATTTCGACTTACTATCGCGCACCGTTGAAAAAGAGGAGCATGGAAGTAATTTAAAGCTGATTCTATGGTAAAGGCTGCAACCACGTATTTGCATTATGTCCAAGCGCGTAAACACGTCTGCCGAGAAGCATACTTTGTCATCCCATCCTATTTACTTTCGGTAGCGTAGAAATATCTCTAGGAGCAGTGGCGTTCCACACACACCGGCAATCGCTCAGACTTTCCTGACAAATAACGATGACTTTTTCGTGGTGTACGTGTCACCAGTTTATTCCCGAGAACTTTCGGTAATTTCTACGATTTCGATCGAATCTTCATATTTCGAAACTAGTTAATCGACTGACGCCGTGATTACGTGTCACGTGTAACTAACTAATTTCCGAGCATAAAATAGTCCAATACCGTTCTGCTAAACTCGCGACTCAAAGGGTTAATCAAACTCGTTATTGAACAACTGTGTCAGGGAGCTGCTGTGGTTATAGCGACACAAATTCGTGGTCAATTGAGCAATTTCTAGTTTTTCGATTATAAAGTTACTATACTTGCATTGTTACGGAAGCAATGTCTTTATGTAGTTTTGGTGAAGATATTGCAAATTTTAGTCACATTTATGTTTATACTGTATAAGTCACATAAAGTTCATATTAAGTATAGGTAGACAAATGAGAAGGTATTGTAGAATAGCTCTGCAATCATCTAAGTTTATATTGCAAATTTTAGCCACATTTATGTCTACACTGTATTAGTCACATAAAGTTCATATTAAGTATAGGTAGACAAATGATAAGGTATTGTAAAATAGCACTGCAATCATCTAAGTTTATATTGCAAATTTGAGTCACATTTATGTCTACATTATTCACAGGGACCTACATTAATCATAGGGACCTACACTACTTGTGAGATACCCTGTATACATTTGTATCGTACAATCAAAGAAAGTTACGGTGATCGCGGAAACATCTTCCTAAATATTCAATGCATAAAATTTGCCTAGAGGTTAATACGAGTTAAACTTAACCTGTAGGTAAATGAGATATAAAAATGTTTATACGTAAGCATCCAGGAAAAATATCTCAAAAGGGTTAAATCCGAGCGTAACAAACGGCGATATCAGGAATAATTATTCAGCTGTATTCACAAAGGGTCGAATCGGGGGTGTAGAAGGTCAGTGGTAGGTAGCGTGTAAAATATGATCTTGGAGTTTGGGCAACGTGGCCGGCGCCAGGATGGCTAATACGTTTGAGGACGAAGTTAGTAACAGGTGGCGCGATCCATAACGGGTCCCTGCAGCTTCCCAACCCCTCAACTACCAACATCACCCTTCCTTCTTGGCGAAAGCACCCTGAAACGCGACGCTACTAACGGGCCACGCGCCTACGATGCAAGGGTAGAAAGTTTAATTAAAAATAAAAACTTGTTTCTTTCGTTGCAGAGTCCACGCCGCCGAGCACCAGCCCCAGTCCATCCACCACCGAGATGCCGAAGAAAGGTGAGCTCGTAAACCTCCCTTAATCGGGGAAAAAATAATATTTTATCCGCCGGGATGCTTTTACCGATAACGAGATTGAAGAGCTCGTAACCTTCGATTTCTCTGTGGTCTTGCGGATCGTTAAGGCTGCTTTATTGGATTATTTATTTATTATTTGCGGTTCGTAGTTTTAGGCTATTAGTTTGAATATGTAATCTTGAAAGTAAAGTTGCGAGTTTTAAGATCTTTAAATTTGATATTTTTAACTTTCTAATCTGCCAAATGTCTAAGTCTGAAAATTTTTAATCTCAAATTGTAAAGAAGACAAATTGGAAAAATTGTAAAATTCTTCGTCTGTTTTAAGCTGTGATTAATTCTGACTGACGCGCCTGATCAAGGGATTAATTGCCACTGCCTGCTTCACTATGTTTACCACATGTAGATTACTATAGATACTATACAACACTCTATCAGTTAAAATATATTTATAAGAAAATGTATCAAACTGAATGAATCAAACAGAATAACAGTTCAAGTGCAAAGTAATTTGTTAACCTAAGAAAGCAGTCTTTGAACCTCGATCAGTTTTCAAATAATGACAGTGAAAAGACGTTTCTCGCGACAGAGAACGTTAAAATCACGGTCGAATTTCATTGACGTGTTTTCCTGTGCACTTTGCACGAAAATCTCGAAAGCAGCTTAACATCTGTCGGTTCCATTAAGGAAAGTAATTTACTCGGTCGACCGCCAGCCGAATGGCCACCATTTATTATTTACACGAAAAGCCTTGCGAGCCGTCAACGGCCGCGTATAGACCTGTTAAAAAGCAACGACGAGCGTATATTTTTTTTTTTTTTTTTGAAAATTCATTTCTCACAAAATCCTGGCGACTGCTGCTATAAAATGCTATTTTCTCCGCAGATTGGGAACTGATGGCCGAAATGAATAACTCCGTTTACGGGAACCCGAGCTCCCTGACGATTCACAACGAGAAAAGCATGAAACCAGGTGAGTTTATCGCTTAATTGCTGAATTTCGTTTGCGAATAGTGAAAACGGATATTTAAACGCTGACGGTGTTTAACGGGTTATGTGCGTCACTTTGAGGAAAATCGGGAAACATAACTCTGTTTAATTATTAAATGATATAGTTAAAAATGTTCTGTTTAATATTTTGGTAATGATATGTTTTATTATGATGTTCGTTAACAATATTTATATAGGTGATTTTTTGAAAAAAAAACGTACATGAGGCTGTATGATAATTTGTTCAAACGAACAAGAAACATGTGGGTGAAAGATACAAGAATATGTTGATTTGTATTATTATAAAACACAGACATCTGTGTGTAAGGAAATTTTTAGATTATGACAGAAAGATGTGGTTAACAGTAAAATACAAAAGAACAATTATTTACATTTACATAATTGATCAAAAATAAATAAGTATGTATGTGTAGGAAAAATTTTAGGTTATGACAGGAAGATGTGGTTAACAGTAAAATACAAATAGCAATTATTTACACTTACATAACTGATCAAAAATAAACAGAACTATAAAAAAAAAATATTCTAAAGATCGTACTATTTGCATTAAATATTCAAGTCCTTATATTTTGAATTTTTTCTCACATGTCCACATCTCGACAATCAACAAAATAGTTAATAACCAACAAAAACCAATAGAAATCAGTAAACAAACATTATAATTATATAAAGTGATCTTCCATATTTTGTAAGGAATCCCCAGAAACGAATCGTAGATAAATCATAATAAATCTTAGGTTAACGAATCTTAAATCGAACATAACCTATCGAGTGTCTTAACCGGTTAACCCATTTCACGATTAAACCCGTAACGATTCTTTAAGTATTAAAAGAGAAAAGGAAAAGGAAAGTGTGACAAATGGAAAGCAGGATTAGCGAACGAAGAGCATGGAAATTTGGCGAGACTTTGAGAAGAGCAAATGCGAGTGACAAAAACGTTCTTTCTGTAAAAGTCTACCGGTGAAACGTATTCTCTTCAATCTTGATCTTTTTTCGAAGAACGCATCGATCACTCAGACATTTCTCGTGGGAAAGTCGGGAAATGTGGAAAGGGGTGCAGCCAGGCGGAAATGCAACAAAAATGTAATAACGTGATAAAGTTAGCTGCGAAATAAGGGGAAATCTAGCAGATAGCATATTTGACGTGTCTGTGGATCGAATTGTTCTTGCGATTTCCATTTCTGACTAATCACTTTCGCATGGAAATTCTCATTTTATACTGCATTGGGATTTTTTATGATTTAACATTTTGTAACACATTATTGCATGTATTATTACACATTGTCAAACATTATTATAAAAGTGTTAACTCTTACCTTTTTAGACTTACCTTTGCACTCTTGCTGAACCCTACTGCCTTCTCCAACCTTGAAACCTAGAAATATTACTATAAATTAATATCATAATTGCAACCTTAAATACAACCAAAAATACTGAAATAACAAAGGTAAAAGTTATAAGAATTCTACAATAAATTAAGAAATGTTATAAACAAAGAATTGTGAATTTTCGTAAGAGACTACAATAAGATAAGATTATGAGAAAGTATAAGGACGGAAGTCTGGTCCCATTGTTTATCGGTATAAATGTACTAATGCAATTCGGTTAATTAGTAATTTCAATTTGTTACATGAAACAACATCTGCTTGAAACATAAAGTTTTCCGTCTAGGTAATGTTATGTACTTTAACTGAATTAATTATCGTGCAATCTGCATATTTCGTTTATTCATTTCGCCGTGCCGTAAACGAGAATTTCAAGCTGTTTATTATTCTATTGACTTGAATTTATGAAATCGCGGATTCGCTTTGAAATTGAAAGAAACGCTCCAGCGTCGGTGACGGAAAATTCAAAGCCTCGAAATAAAACTGTTTCAATTCAGGCAATTAACTTGTCAAAATGATGGATTTCTTATTTTAAGTCCGTAAAAATTAACAAGACTTGAATTCCATTAATATTTGTATATTTATAACATTTATATCATGGCAATTTTTGGTAAAAATGCAGATTTAATTTAGGAAGTATATAATAATTTAATTTTTTTATGAGTAATGTTGCAAGCATGCTACATGAAATAATGTACCACGATCTTGTTTATTATCTTGTTAAATGATAAATGCAAATTTTGTAACTGTAATTTTATAACTAATTTTAAAATAAATTTTATGATTACAATTTTACAATTTATATTTTATAATTTCATTATAATTATTACAATTTATACTTCATTATAATTATCACAATTCATAATCAATTATAATCAACTTATAATCAATGAGTTCACACAATTATATTCTTGTACTACTTCAACAAATCTATGTTGTATTATTTTTTTAAATAATACATGAAGTTTTGAAATAATTGTCAACAGAAAATGTTTATTTAAATTTGTGACTGAATGAGTGTACAGAAATTATCTCTCAAAACCGACAAAAAATTACAACAGAAAGTTAAATAAATTTTACCCCAGCTTACAGAGCGGTAAAAATGAATAAACGATCAGCAGAGAAGCAAAATTAGGACAATTTGCCGTTTGAAACAATTACAACAGAACAAAGTAAGCAAAAAAGAAACTTGCCAAAGAAAAGAAGGGTAGAGAAAGAATCAAGCAGAATTACTTCTAAAACGATCACGAAGCGTACAACGAGGGTGCAAAACAATGGCGTTCAAAAGCCATAAGAATCGTCTGCAGAGTAAACTTCTGGGAAAAAAAAGAAACAGAGGAACAATGGGAACAACTCGAAGCAGAAAAGTCGCCAAAGTAGTAGGTACAAGCAAATGTTCGTATACGTGTAAAATCTAAAAGGCTAAAGGGGTGGGGGGAGGCTCGCGACGAAAGGATCGAAGGGTGGAAAACGAGCCGAGGGTGGGTTCTCCCAGTAACATCAATATTTCATGTATGCTAACACGCCAGAACTAATAATGCTCCAGCAAGGAAGACCCAAGAATAATATCAGCCACCGGCGTACTCCGTGTTCTCCTCTTCCACCCCTTTTTCACCCCCTGTCCCTTCTTCATCCTTGTTCCCAGCCCTTTCTTTTAAGATGAACAGCGAAAAAGAAAATAGGCTACTGTCTACCCTTTTTTACTTGGATCTCAATAAATTCTACGGTAGATCTATTAGCTACCTTTTGTGTTCTCGTTTTATACCAAATTATGAATTTTTACTTGAAGATTAATCAAAGTACATTTTCTTTCTTTTCATTTTTATATTTGAATACTGATACTCTTTCTCTTTTTTCGAGAAGTTCATTTAGAAGCTTGATATTTGGAAACTAACCTCTTGCTCTATGTCGCGTCACATTGGGGATGGTTCAATTATACAGTATCGCAGGATTTCTTCATAATAGAAGACGTCCTTAATTTGTCTTCACGATGAAATAACCTTGAAATGTTTACAATGGGTTAAGTTTTACTCGTCTTCACTAAAACCATATAAACTTCGGAAGCTACGTATATCCAGACTTCGATGTACCACAAGCACCTCAGCGTCTACCTATGAACCTCTTCCCATTTCCAAACCCATATAACATCTTCATTTATCTTCATAATATCTTTATGGTATAACTATCATCTTTAATTAGAAGTATCATAAATAGAGGATCAGAAAATCCCCAGTAAGTAAAATCAGCTTGGTCGAACCTCGAAGACTTATCAGCTCCGTAGCACAGAGCGTTACACCATGACAGAGAGAAAATCCTTTAGCCCCTAAATTTAATCTAACAAAGTGCGAGAGTCTTTTCGAAAATTCGTGTCTCGTTGAACGAAGCAACCCCTTTCATCGTCCGTTTGTACAGCCGGAGGGTTGCATACAGCCTAAGCTCCGTACAGTTTCGTCATGGTTGTCGTAGAGAAGACAAAGAGCTGGAGGCAGCAAGGTATCCGACATCGGGCTCGTAAGTCGGAACACGCCTTATTCCTCCTTGTTTCTCCTTTTCTATGGCTGTGGAAAGGGGGTTGCTCGAAGTTGCCGGGTAAAAGAGCGACGGAGACATACTCGCATCGTCGGGGGTGAGGTTTGTAATTGGCGCAACATCTGCGGTCTGCGGGGTGGCATTAATGTTTGCTCCCCACGACGCTTCTCCGTTCTGCTCTTTGTTTCCTTCGTCTCTAGCTTTCGTCTTTCGGTCTTTTTTTCCTTTCTTGAGGCTGTTGCTTCCCTTTCTTGTCATTCCGCGGCGGTTCAATCGAGTCGAGCGTCATATTTCCGGGGGCAAAGTTCAGTCGCGAGCTACAAGCTTCTGATTAACCCTCGAACGCTGGATGGGAGACTAACAAGGGAACGTTACTTCTTAGTATGCGATAACGAGATCTGAAAACACTGTTGTTCTGGAAGTTTATTCTGGCGGAGATTTGATTTGGAATAGTGGACTGTGTTGTTTTAGCATTCGGTTATGATGATAGAGGCTGAATGTAAAACGTAACTAATATTCTTCTCGTAAACGTAACTAATAAACTTCTCAAATTACCAACTTCTCAAATTACCAACTTCTCAAATTACTAACTTCTCAGATTACCAACCTCTCAGATTACCAACTTCTCAAATTACAAACTTCTCAAATTACCAAATCTCTAAATTACAAAACCTCTAAATTACCAAATCACCAAATTTCTCAAATGCCAAATTCCCAAATCACCAAATTTCTCAAATGCCAAATTCCCAAATCCCCAAATTCCTAAATTCCCAAACTTCTCAGGTGGCAAGTCTCCAAATCCCCAAATTTCTCAAATGCCACATTCTCAAATCCCCAAATTTCTCAAGTGCCAAATCCCCAAATCCTCAAATTTCTCAAATGCCAAATTCCCAAATCCCCAAGTCCCCAAATTTCGCAGGTATCAAACTCCCAAATTTCCAAATTTCTAAGGTGCCAAATCCCCAAATCCCCAAATTTCTCAAGTGCCATATCCCCAAATCCCTAAATTTCTCAAATACCAAATTCCCAAATCCCCAAATCCCCAAGT